TCTCCCTACATGAAGTAGGGCCCTGCCTAGAGTGGAGGTGACCCTGTTATTTCTTGCCCTGAGGGTACTGGAACAAAGGACACAAGGAAGAGTTGGACTAGGATGGCTAGTACCGATAGGATTGCGATGACTGCAAATGAAAAATATGTATTGAGAAGTAGCGAGACTTGTGGATCTGGCTGGGTGTACCGATGATGCCAAGGGACCTTGTGGTGATCTGTTGTTTTTTTGCATATGGTCTAGGACAGGGGTGTCAGACATAAGGCCTGTCCACGGCTGCTATGTGGCCTGCGAGTAAATGGTGCAGGGGAGGGAACAGGAGCCCGTGCGGGGGTGGGCAGAGCCACTCCAATTGTGGCTTCAGCATGGCAGAACAACCTCATCGGCACTGGTCAAGCAGAACCCCTTCACTTCAGGGACAGCCTCATTGGTAAGTTGGGAGCCACAGCAGCTGTATTCATAACCTCTCCACTCAGCCTGCAGCTCCAGGAATACTGTCTTGGATGGCCACAGGGATCAGTGTTTCCACATGGGGGGGTGCAGATGATCCTTTGCTGGGGCATGGGAGCGTCTGCCCAGTGCTGCACTGCTGGCTCTCCAGTCCGCCCATGTGGGTTTTCCTCTGCACCTCCCCCCCTCCCAGCCCATGAGGCCTTGCAGTGAGGATACATCAACTCGGAGCTTACCAGCTGCTGTCCTTTAAAAGTTTATATCTCCAATACCCAGCATTACATTTTATGGCACACATGCCCTGGCCTGACAAAGTGACATTTATGTTAGATCCGGCCCTCATAAGAAATGAATTCAACACCTCTAGTCTAGGACATCATCTATCTGGGAGCTAAACAGATGCCTTCCCTCGAAGGTGAGAGCCTCCATTCTCACCTTAGTATTATTGAGAAGGGCAGTGCAGTGGAGCCAGGAGTGGCACTGTAGGACTATGGCAGGAGTGACGGATCTACTGCATGAGTCTGTAATACGTCATGCCGTGTTTAGTTGCTGCTTTCCCAGCTTGAAGCCCTCCGCCTGTAGGACCCTGGCCACAGCGTTGTGTTCTTCTAGAAGTGAATCAACGAACGTATCCATCCTTTCCCACAGGAACATTCTGTAACATCCTACAATGGCATTACAGTTTACTATGCCTAGAGTTAGTGGCAAAGTGCAGATCTTGCAGCCAAGGCTGTCAAGCTTACGTCCCCTCTCAGTTAAACGGTGAGGAATGGGGCCCAGAGTGCTGCTTGGCTGGGATGACCTCTGTTACGACAGAGTCAGCAGTGAGGTGGATGAAAAGGAAATCACCGTTCTTCCCTCAGATGTTATAAAGGTAAAGGTTCCCTTGCTTGAAAGCCAGTCGAATCCGACTATAGGGTTGCGGTGCTCATCTCCGTTTCAAAGCCGAAGAGCCAGCGCTGTCCGAAGATGTTTCCGTGGTCATGTGGCCAGCATGACTAAACACCAAGGTGCACAGAACGCTGTTACCTTCCCACCGAAGTGGTACCTATTTATCTACTTGCAATTTCCTAATTGTAGAGACTTTCTTAGTTCGTTTGATTTAATCCTACTCCAGGAGACATGGATACATGAGATTTTTTAAGAAGGTTTTAAGGTTTGCACCCTTCCGGCTTTTAGACGGGAGCGGTTTGGGAGATTCCAAGCTGGCCTGGCAATTCTATGGTCCAGTAATTCCAATATTAAGGTTCAACCCCTACGGGAATGTGCCCCTGAGGATTTCTTTGGATCCAATAGTGGGCCTGGTTCCAATACAGATCCTGACGGCGCTGACCATGAAGGCGGGGTATGGGCCCAGGAGTTTGGTTCCGACTCCTTAGAAGGGGTCTGATCTTTGCCTGGAGCCACTAAAGCCTTCTCCCAAAGGGCAGCTTTCAGTCTGGAAGGCCAGTTCAAGTATGCTTTTAGAGTGAACTGCTTGCAAACAGAGCAGAGAGGTTGTGGGTCTCACCCAGGCATAGAAGACAATGGTCAGGGTCATCTGACTGAGCCATTTTTAGGGCGCATTTGATGCCCTTTTTGAAGACAGCCACAGCCCGATAATAAAGTCCTCCTTCAAATTCCTCTTTTTGCAGAAATGAAGCAGAGGGAAGAGATGACAGGAAGAAGATGAATGGGGGAGGGTGGAAATCGTAAAGAAAAACTTGTGAGGATCAGAAGAGAGCAAAGACGTCCAATCTCCACTGTGGCAAGAAAGGACTGGAGAAAGGAGTGCTCATTCCGACCCATCTTGTGCTGACTGGGCGGGAAGGAGCCAACCCCATGAGGGGAGGAGGCTGATCACTCTGAACTTTCTAGAGAGCTTTTAGAGAAAAATATTTTCATGGCAGGCCTGCGCAAGCATGGTTCCGTATGTGCCTGCACAGAAGCCATTAAGATGAACTTGAGGTTATGGTGGATAGCCCAATGAAGGTATTGACCCAATGTGCAGAAAAGGGTGAAAACAGATTTATGATGGAGATTATTAGGAAAGGAATCGAGAATAAAATGGCAACATTTGTGATGCCCTTGCATACAACCATAGTGCGCCCACATTTGGAATATGGTGTGCAGTTCTGGTTACCATAGGTAGAAGAGGATATTGTGAAGCTGGAAAAAAATACAGAAGAGGGCAACCAAGTTGATGAAGGTATCGCAGCCCTTTTCCTATGAGGAAAGGCCAAAGATCTGGGGCCTTTTCAGTTTAGAAAAGAGACAGCTAAGGGGGGACACAGAGCGTCTTCCCCCTCTCCCATACTAGTAGAACTCAAAGAAACCCAATGAAATTGATAGGAAATAGGTACAGGACAAACAAAAGGAAACACTTCTTTACTCAATGAGCAATTAAATTGGGGAATTCACTGCCAGTTGAGGTAGTGATGGCCACAAACACAGGTGACTTTAAAAGAGGGTTAGATTCATGGAGGAAAGGTCCATCAATGGCTACAAACCATGGTGACTAATGGGGGCCTTCATACTCAAGAGGCACTAAACCTCTGACACTCAGTGCTAGGAGGCAACATCAGGGGAAGGCCTTTGGAGTCTGTGCACTGTCTGCTGGCCCTTCAAGGCAACTGATTGGCCACTGAATGAAACAGAATGTTGGAATAGATGGTCTGATCCAGGGCTGTACTGGTAGCAGGAGCTCCTTTGCATATTAGGCCACACACCCCTAGTGTAGCCAATCCTCCAAGAGCTTACAGAGCTCTTCTTACTGGGGCTACTGTAAGCTCTTGGAGGATTGGCTACACTAGGGGTGTGTGGCCTAATATGCAAAGGAGCTCCTGCTACCAGTAGAGCCCATCCAGCGGGGCTTTATTATGGTCTTAGTTCTGGAACCATGAGGATTAGAGACTTTAAAAATAAAAGTTATGTTTTTCACAATGGTACTACCCAACAAACTAAGGAAACAAGTTGCCCCACCCTGTACCTGCAGAGTTCAAAAAGTTCTCAATACAAGACCAACAGCATTTACTCAGCACCTTAGCGCGTTCAAAGAACCTCACATATATCATCAATGCTGTCTTGCTTTTGATAATTCTGCAAAGTCATTACTGCAGATTATGGAAACTACAAGAATAAAGCTTAGGGTCATTTAGCAAGTTCACAGAAATTCCAACTAACTGAATTTCCTAACATGTAGCTCAACTCCTCAACCCACCTGCCAGTAACCAGCCTTACAAAGTTCCCAATACACAGTTCCTGCTTCCCTCCCACAGCAAAAGACAAACAAGAGAAACGTACCAGCCGGCTAATTTCTTCTTGCCTATCCGGGGCCGACCTTGCGGTTGCTTTTATCATGGTGGAGGTCTGATTGTCTGTCAGTTTCTTGATGCAACGTTGGCCAGCCACGATGTTACACACCTGGCAAAGCGTGCAACAGAGGGTCTTTCAAATTTCCGTCTTGTCCTTCAGCTCAATATAGCCCCTTCCCCAAAAAGGCTTATAATAATGAAGCCATAACAAACTTACACAAGCAGTAACTGTAGTTAGTAACATCAATATTAAAAAGTTAGAGACCTTTGATCAAAAGCCCATCCAGACTACCCGAGGATGCTGTAACCCAGGCACTTGATGGCTAAGGAAAGGAAACCTAAACCATCTACAGCAGAGGTCCCCAACCTTTTTGAGTCAGTAGGGATCTTTGGAAATCTGACACAGGATGGTGGGCACAACCACAAATTGGCTGTCACAGGAGGCGGAGCCAACTGCAAAATGTCAGGGAGGGAGGTCGTGCATAACTCTGACTGCTGCTCTTCAGTATTTCTTGCAGAAGCTCTGTTTAACAGGATTTCTTTTAAGATGAACAGCCACCATTAAAAGCTGGTATTTTAAGATTTGGGACCATCTAATAATGGACAGAACATCAGATAAAATATCCAACTATGACCTCTCTTTTTGGCCCTTCTATTTTGAAAGACGGTTTCCAATCTTGGAAAAACTGGATGATATACTTGAAAATAAGGGACATTATCAGGGACACCAATATTACAACTTTTTGAAGACTAACTGGCTAATTTGACTTTTGAGAAACATAAATGGTTGTTAAAGTTTTTAGTCTTTGACTATGTAAAAGGGGTGCCAAGATATGAAGTTGTAACATATTACAAATATCAAAGTTGGTTACTTAAGTATATTGATACTTGAAAATAAGGGACATTCTCAGGGACACCAATATTACAACTTGAGAAGAAACATAAATGGTTGTTAAAGTTTTTAGTCTTTGACTATGTAAAAGGGGTGCCAAGATATGAAGTTGTAACATATTACGAATATCAAAGTTGGTTACTTAAGTATAGTAATACTATTTTAATGCTGGATTATTTGAAAAATAAAATATTTCTTTTAAAACATACCCACAATAATACATATTGAACTAGCGAAGAAATACTCATCTGTCAGATTTCCAGTGGCCAATCAGAAGCTCTGTTGACCCCACCTAATTTCTAAAAACACTTGTTGGGCACCAGGAAAGGTGTCAGCGGGTGCCCTAGTGCCCCAGGCACCACGTTAGGGATCCCCTGTCTATGGGATAAAGGCTTACAGGAAATAGAACACAGCTGCAACAGGTGTGTCTACATGCACACGCACACACTTGTGTTGCAACAGGAAGGACAAAATTCTTCCAAGCATCCCCTGTTCCCAGAAGGTGCCTTCACCTCCAGAGGTAAGTACGTGTGCTTCTGCTCCTGGCCAACCTGAAGACACGGCAGGTGGGGGTACTTGAGCTGCAGGTTGTATTTCTGCTTGAAGTATTGTGCTACTGTGCACTCCACAGTCTGGCCGCTCTCCAACTGCAGGGGGAACCTATGCAGGAGGAAACAGTGGCTGCTAAGTGATGCTACACACTTACTGGGGAGAGCATAGGCTACAATAATTACGGAACTACAGGGGGGAGGGTGCCCCACTGTGCTGCAAGAAATCACAGTTAAAAGGCTCCTAGGATCCCACAGGGACACACCTCCAGAAGAGGCCGCCCACCACAACCTGCATTTTACAAAACGCATATCCTGCCCAAACACCCTGGGCCAAAAGGGAGGTCAGTTCAGTCACATATGGGGGGAAACAAAGGGTTAAAAGTGTAGGGGGCTACCAGTCTCCTTCACAACTGCCTGTTCAATAGAAAATCTTCACACAGTTAAACCAGTTTTTCATTCTAGCATAGTGCCCTCCTCCCAGGGACAGTGCGCAAAATAGTGTGCAATAGTCTAAGTGCGATACAAGGCTCCACTGACCTTCCTTCCTTTCATTCCCTTAGAAGCTCATCGATTCATAAATCTTGAGCAGCAGAAAACACCTATTCCTTATTTTTGGAGGCACCACTGACCTTCCATGCCGTCAGACAAACAGAAATGCTTCTCCACTCCACTTTTTAATAGATCAGAAAAGCTACCAATCACCAGGCACCAAGACCCCCCACCCCACCCGCTCCCAGAGGCCCTTCTCTCCTCCAAGTCCCACTGCCCATCTTACGTTTGATGACTAGCTGGCCGCCGAGTAACATTACACACTCGGTATTTCCTCTTCATCTGTCCACAGTGAGTTACTTCTACTTTTAAACCTAGGAGCAGACACACATTTTAGTCGACAAAAGATGTCCTGTGTTGGCTTCTTTCCATCCTTCTTAATGATTATTAAATTACCGAGTTACCAATCAAAAATGGTAAAACAGAGAACGTGTAGCAGATACAAGCTATTTGTTTGCTGTCCAATAATTTAGATATTGCCAGTGTATCCTGAAGTTATCTGGATCCCTTCCAGTCCGGTTTTCGCCCTGCCCATGGGACGGAGACGGTGTTGGTCGCCTTAGTGGATGACCTTCGGAGACACCTGGATCAAGGCAGATCGGTGCTGCTGATACTTCTTGATCTGTCAGCAGTGTTTGATACGGTTGACTATAAATTGTTGACCCACCGCCTCGCCGATGTGGGGATAAGGGGGCTTCCCTTGCAGTGGATGACCTCCTTTCTCCAAGGTCAGGGACAGAGGGTGACACTCGGGGGGGGGGGATTATCTCAGAGACACCTGCTAGAATGTGGTGTGTTGCAGGGGTCAATTCTCTCCCCAATGCGGTTTAATATCTATATGCGCCCCCTTGCCCAGATTATCCAGAGGTATGGGCTGGGTTGTCACCAATACGCGGATGACACCCAGCTCTATCTACTGATAGATGGCCACCCGGACTCTGCCCCAGAAAATCTGGTTGGTTGGTTACAAAAGAGCAGACTGAAATTGAATCCATTGAAGATGGAGGTCCTGTACCTGGGTCGTGGAGGATTAGGATCGGGGATCGGACTTCCAACCTTTGATGGGGCCCTATTGGTGCCGGCGCCAAAGGTGAAGAGCCTGGGGTATTCCTGGATGCCTCACTAACTATGGAGGCCCAGGTTGCCACCACTGCCAGGTCTGCCTTTTTCCATCTGAGGCAGATCAGGCAGTTGGCCCCATATCTCACTCCCCAGGATCTGCCTGCAGTGACCCATGAAATGGTCACTTCCAGATTAGATTATTGTAATTCTCTCTACGTGGGGCTGGTGCAGAATGCAGCGGCACGGATACTGATGTTGCTGCCTATGCGGGCCCACGTCCACCTGGTGCTGTGTGAATTGCACTGGCTTCTTATTGAGTACCGGATCCATTTCAAGGTGTTGGTGCTTACCTTTAAAGCCCTACACAGCCAGGGGCCCACATATCTGCGAGACTGCCTCTCCCTCTATGAGCCCCAAAGGGCTTTACGATCTGCCAATTAACATCTTCTGGTGGTCCCTGGCCCCAGGGACGTCCGTCTCACCTCCACTAGGGCCAGGGCCTTTTCAGCCCTGTCCCGTACCTGGTGGAATGAGCTCCCATATGAGATCGGGGCCCTGCGGGACCTTTTACAGTTCCACAGGGCCTGCAAGACAGAGCTCTTCCGCCAGGCTCTTAACTAGGGCGACAGACATCCCTTCCTCTTTACTGGGCCTTCCCTCAGCGGGTCAGAACTCCACACCAGAGATGGCATCTGTGAGGTCTTAATTTTAATGACTACTGAACTAGATGAAGGCTATTGTGGTATTTTACTACTGTTTTAATTGTGTTAATTTTTGTATATTGTATTTTTATCAAATATGATGTAACCCGCCCTAAGCCTGCCATGCGGGGGGTGGGTGGGATATAAGTCAAATAAGATAAAATAAAATAAAATAAAAATAAAGCTATTAATCTCCTCCGCCTCTCTGCAAAAATCAGAGAAATTTCCTACAATGTTACAAAGAATTCCCCCCACTCATTTTCTAAATAGATAAATGTGTCCCAATGTCCCTTTCCTTCCCCCCACCCCAATTCTACAGACATCACTATGAGCTGGACTGTGTGCATACCAAGGAAACAGAATCTATGCAGGCAACGAATAAGTCACTGAATCCTCTCTACATTTTTAAAATGCAGATAGGAAGGGTGTACAATGAGATGTATCCCTCAGGATAACACATCCCAGAGGGTGGACACTTTATGCCTCTATACACCTTTGCTATGTGCTCTCATGTAGTTCTACCTTCAGAATGGGATTCTAAAAGTTCGAACTTTGAACCAGGATATGTGAGCCAAGGACTCAATTGCTAACTGGAGGGGAAGGTACACAAGGTGGGGTCTGGGTGATGCTCAAGAAGAAGGGGCAAAGTGGTCTTTCAGAGCGAGAACCAGGAGCTAGGATGCACCGTGGCAGAGTTCTATTGAGCATGAAATCTGGGTACTGTTGAAACACAGCCCCCTTCCTGTGACAGTCATAGCTAAATATTGGGGTGCTCACTCCACCCTCAGGTTTAAATTGCCAGGCAAAAGTGGTATTCACTGTTCTACAAATCTCCATTTTGATCCAAGGCCTTATACATCCTGCCCTCCAGATATACCTGCGGTGGCAGTGCCTGCTGCCCTATCCTAGGCTTGAGCAAAGCCTCTCCACACACAGACACACCTGAGTTGTCAGTTCAACACAGGCCACTTTGCTAAACGATCTCTGCAATCATAATATAGACTGGAAATAGGTTTGCTTCCTTTAAATGAAAAGCAGGTTCTTATAATATTGAACTGCATGCCTGATTCCATATTTCAGACTGGAAATGGTGAGACCAAGGATGTGCATTGTGCAAGTCATGGATTGGGTGCATCTGCTATTCCTCCCATGGCCTCTAAACCCTTCCCCCATATTCTGTCTTTCACCCGTTCTGTGCTGATTACTAGCCTTGTTTCCACAAAAGGCCTTGCACAGCACCCCTCTCCCAGGACAATCTGCTAACAAAACCCTCGTTTACCTTTGATCTCCTTGGTGAAGCGCACTCTCTGGGAGTCGGTCAAGGGCTTCGGCTGCTCATCAATGTTTCTGATATCCAGCACCTCGCACATGAACTCAATCACAGGCTGGGCCTTGTAGAATGCTGTTGCCGATACTGTTAGAGGGCAAGCAGATAGATGGCTCGTCGGCCAAAGGAGCACAGGAAGCACCAGCGTTTTCTGCATCCCTCTAGGCACCAATGTCAAGAGGAAAAAGTGGGCAGGAAGGGGGTCCCTATCTTGTCTCTAGAACACATCTATAACTTTGTAACATGTCCAAAATCCTGCAGACAGGCTGCCATCAGCTGCAGCCTTTGAAACCCCTGTGATATGAAACATGGAAATGACCTCTTCTACAGTGAAACGGCTTTGTTCAGACTTAACAAACCTTGTCCTGCTGCTATATTTGCAACCCCCTGAAGGATCTTCAGGTTTGCTGGAGTAATCCCTGCTTTGCCACTTGTCTATGGTACATTATTATGATTTCTTCAGAGCAGCAAATCACATTCAAATTAGTAAACTATGGTTTGCTCTGTACCGAGTTCCAAATTAGCAACGAACCACGGCTTGCAGTCCAGGTGGATGGAAATAACGTTTGCTGGAAACCTGGAAATGAGTTCTCTGCCAACAGAGACAGTGCAGCAGGGACCACGTGAGCAAGCCAGTGCCCCCCCCCCCCCCATTTGCAACTATGATCAAACCAAGGCACTACATACAAGAGTCCTAAAGTCAAAGGCTGTCCTAGACTCTAGCATATCGAGTTCAGTGAGTTCCTCCCAACCTTTAGCAACCAACCTTTGGTCCTGTGGGCCATGGAGGGTTCCTCCCCCATCCCAGCCATGGTTCCTCTGTTCAAGTAATCTGAATACTTTGCTACACTGGGTTGGATCCAGCCAGGCTTGTCCAACTCCCCTCCTTACAACAGCACCCGTCTCACATACTGTTTGGAAAGACAAACCAGCACAGCCTTTCTTAGTGGTCAGATAGGATTCCCCTCCTTCCCGTTTCACCAGAACTGGATGGATCGAACCCACTGTATATTTAAAACCAGACACACAAACCTAAGAGCAGAATTACAACTCTGTTCAAAGCTCAAGTATCTGTCTGCAAGTAAGTGTTGCGTAGCAGTTGTCGGACTTCAAGCCTGGAAAATTGGGGTGCATCCTACCCCTATCATCCAACTCCGCTAAGCAAAGTTTGAAGCCTTCCCCCAGCCTAAGGAGTCTTCCTAATAAGTCTTCCTCCAATTCACTAAAATATGAGTTCAAATCCTTGCTTGCCATGGAACTTACTGGATGACCCTGGGCCAGTCACACCCTCTCAGCTACTCTCTCACAGGGTAGTTGCAAGGATGTGAGAAGGGAGAATCATGGAAGAAGGGAGAACTATGCCCTGAGCTCCATGGAAGAAGAGCTGGATGAAAATGCACTAAACCCATTTCAGCACTAGCCGGGACCTTCAGAATGCTCACAAAGCAAAACATCTAAAAGCAACTGGTCTCCCCTTTTCAGAGAGATATATCACACTTGAACATGGAGGCCCCATTTTGTTACCATGGCAAACAGCTGCTGGCAGACCTATGCTCTGTGAATTTGTAGCAGCAGGGATCTGCAAGCATTAAGTTACCATCGATGTTCAGCATCATCTTCCACATGGCAGGTCTGACGGACTGGTGGAATCCAAACCAGACTTCCCTTCCACCTCCCAGTGGGTGATAGTATCCTTCAGGGGGAGAGAAAAAAGAACGACCCACAGGGGTATACCTAGGGGAGCCAGAGGAAATTAGGAACACATTAATTCACTACAAAGGCCAGTAAATTAATCCCTAAAAACTAAAGCCAGACAAAAAAAAACCACTCAGCAAGTTGTCTGAGCCTTAAAACTTCTCATTACTATATCTAATCCCAATCTAAGATACGGTAACCAGATGTCCTCTTTTTCAGTAGGACTGTCCAGGGTCTGCTTCTGTCCACTAAAATTAGCCAAAGTAACAGAAGAGGCTCAATTCCAGAACAGCCACAGGGGACCCAGAGCTCCGTGCAGTTGGAAGAAGAGCTGCTCAAGCTAGCCAGGCTGTGTGGGGTGATTTAAAGATAAGGAGCCATCAGAAGAGTCTTGAGAAGCTCCACGTCAACATTAGCAACAGAATCAGACAACTGAACTATGAGATATTTCTATTTAAATTATAGTACTAGGTGCAGACTTAGATCTATGACTGTATATTAGCATATGCAAATATTGTCCTATCTTTTGAGGTCTCATGCCCTTTTTTGGTTATCCTTAAGACAGTCACCCTACAAGTACACATTTGGGTTCAGTTCTTTCCTCCATAAATTTATCATGGAAACTGAGTTCCTTTCTATTTCCTCCACCCTTTCCTGATAATTCTTGGAAAAGGCATTCTTTAGAGAGGCTTGAGATTGTTTATTTCCATTGGCACCCTCCCAAAACTACAATTTCCAGGATTCCTTGGTGGAGGCCTAAAGTGCAGGAGAAGATATAAAATCAACCGGGGGGGGGGGGGTAAATGAGCCCCATTTTGTGAAATCACCTCTTTGGGTTCCCCTGTCTCACAGCAAGACCCCACTTGAGAAAAAGAATTACCTCATGGAGGCAAGGTGCCTCATGGCAACGTCAAGGGCCTGGACGGACTCCAGAGGCACAGGGATCTGTCCGCTCACCAAGGCTTCGTGCAGCATCCGCCAGCTGACAATGGCCATCCACTTGATGGAGACCTTGAATATCCTGTCCTTGCCTTCCCCTGGAATTGTCACCTCAAAATCAACCTATGAGGAAAACCAGAGGGGAACAAAAAAAAAAAAATGCTCCTCAGGACTCTAGCTTGCAAGGCCTCAGTCAAGTGCCCTGACAGAGGAATTGGAGCTGACCTTGCTAAAAATTTGTACTTATTTTATTTAACAGATTTATATTCTGATTTTTCTAAGTAGCATACACCATAAATTCTTGTGTTTCACAGTGCAAAAAAAATTAACACAGTATAATTAAGAGGTCCCAGTAAACCATGATTCAGGAAATTTGGGGTGGCAGGAATCAGCAGAGAGAGCAAAATATCCGATCATGTGACCAAAGGCCTAACTGACTCCTAACTACCACACTATTTTTTCTAAAGGTGCCTCACAGATTATTGCACTCCACAATGTTCAGACTCCTTCATACATGTAATTATGTTGAAACTCTAAAGTCCGTCATGTGAGACACAGTTTTGAACCCCTGTTCTGCCATGGAAGCTTCCTGGGTGATCTGGATCCAGTCATTCTCAGCCTAACCTTCCTCCCAGGGTTGTTGTGAGGATGCAGCAAGGAAGGGAGAACTATGTAGGCTGCCCTGAGCTCTTTAAAGCATTTTTATCTTGCCCTCCCTCCCTCCAGATAGGCAGGTCCTACACAGCGTTCACTCCAGAGGCAGAATTCAGATGAGGGACTTCCCAGTTCACACCGCAACACACTTTAGCCATTACAATGTGCCAACTCTCTCATCTTTAGAATGAAGGAATACAGTAGTGTGTTCCAAGCTTCTGACTACAACAGTTCCCCCTCCACGAGTTAAAGGCAGAAGCACACATCAAAGCCTCAAAAGTCCTGCTTACAGAGTGAGAGTGCTACCCACCTAAGCCTGTGCTTCTGCATGAGTCACTGCCCTCCTCCAGGGTCCTGCAGTTCTGCTCTGTCTTTGTAGTGGGAGCGACTGAACTGAATTGCACCTGAAGCAAAGACAGCTGAGAGTGGCTTGGAAGGCAGCAAGGGTGGTGCAGTACATCATGCAGAGGTGCAGCAGGTGGGTTCCTCTACAGGAACATGGGGGGGGGTTAAACATTTCTCTCTTTGCACTGCAGACCCCAACATAATGCTCAGTGCTGGCACTAGCAGCACTATGAAAACAGGGGGAGGGAATGCAATGGACTAGAACAAGGCAGTGGAAGGCAGGAAGTCCTGGCTAAATTCCTATGGTTTCCAAGTAACACCTGAATTCCCCACTTTTATTTTTTAAATTATTCTTTGTATAAACACAACTGACAGGTGCTACAAGTCAATAGTCTGTCTTTAAACTGGCAGAAACTAGGGTTTGAAAGGAACTTTCAACCACTGTCGCATAGGGTTGAAAAGACAGGGCTATTTACTCCAACAAAAATGGATCAATTGGGGGAAAATACTCAATAAGCAGCAGTATATCTTATTATAGTCAGTTAAAACTGTATACAGAAAGCAAGCTTTCAACTACAACAGAACTCTTCTTCAGGTAGTTATTGCTATTACCACTGCTGATCCAGCCATAAGAGTTTTGGGGAAATTCAAAGTTTCCTCAATGTCTTTGTGACGTTCTCATTTCTCCTAAGTATTTATATACCTGCTTCCTTTGGATCTTTCCTTTAGAAACAAAAAAATATACTCAGGTTTTCCAGACAAAAAACACCCCAGAAATCCACCCATCCAAAGGAACATTCCCCTCATACCCTTTCATTTCCAATGGGCAGGGCAGTGACTGTGTAAATGTTCTTTTTCCCATCATACACTGGCTTCCGATCACCAAAGATCTGAGGCTTGAAGTGTTGTACCATGTATTCCACAACCTCCCTGAGAAAAGACAGATGGGTGGAGAAAAAGAGAAAAGCTAAAAATGATGGACTCTACTGTTAGGAGCACAGTTTTGTTGGGGAACACCAGAGACAGGATACAGCCATGAGCAGTGCCACGGGAATCTAGACCTGGAGGGTACTTAGGCGCTACCATATAACAGGCTCTGGTACCTTGTAGCTAGGGTTGCCAGGCAACCAGGAGGAGACAGGGGCACATAGTGGCAGCTGACAGCAACAGTGTGGCATGACTTCCAGGAAAAACCCAGAAGTGACATCAGTCTTCTTCAGGACTCGCCAAAAACTCTATGGTTTTACCACAGAATTTCTGGTGATACCTGGGGTGTGACATCACTTCTGATTTCCATGGAAATGATGTCATGTCATCGGCACAACAGCCTTTTTTCTTCTACCGGGGAACTGGCAACCCTACTTGAAGTGTCGTGGACTTGTATAAACTGTAGGGTCATTAAGCCCTCAGATTCTAGCTTTTCCCGTGAAGGTCCTGAGACAATCAGACCCCTTGGTCAATTAAGGGGTTTTATATTGCCTGCCAATCCCAAGAGCCGATATTTGGCATGTCCCTAACCTATGCAATGCCTAAAGTAGGCTTGTAGGGTACACATTCCACAACTGCTTGGAAGGCTAGCCTCTCAACCTCAGGTATTGGGATTTCTGGTTCAAGTCCCTGATGAGAAAACTGATAAGGAAACTAAACCAATAGTTATTTAAAAATAAGAAACACTCCCAAAGACAACACCCCAAAGTGATTTCTTGCTTTAAAACTGACACATCTTACTACAGAAATGCACAGGGGAAAGAAACAGAAAACTGGGGATTCCATTTTGATGCCTGTGTTTGGATTCAGTCTGCTGCAAAACACACTGCCAAACTCCACCAGCAGTATGTCAAGCCTACAGAGTCCTACGTCAATGTCCTGCCCACAGCAGGAAAGGGTCTACATCAGGGGTGGCCGAACTTGCTTAACGTAAGAGCCACACAGAATAAACGTCATATGTTCGAGAGCCACATAACATGAACAAATATCACAGACATGTTTTTATTGGAAAATGTGCAAATTTGCTTTTTATTAACATTAAATGAGACTGCCAAAAATAAAAACAAAAGGGATAAAAATAGATATTGATTTGTCCAATTATATTTGTAGGCGGGGGGGGGGGCTTTGAGAACCCATTTAAAGCTAAAGTTGCTTTATTTCTCTGCTCCCCCCTGCCTCAAGCCTACTCAGGGAGGGGAACACTGGCTGGGGAAGGGAAGACCGATCAGGGAGGCATGCCTCCCCTTTGCTTCCCCAGCTGCCCTGCCGGGAGCCACACAATATGTGTGAAAGAGCCACAGTTTGTCCACCCCTGGTCTCCATAATAAGAACATAAAGAGCAGCCGTGATGGATTAGTCCAGTGGTCCATCAAGCCCAGCATCCTGTTTCACATAGAACCCAGCTATGTGTGTTGAACAGCCAATGAACAGGGCACAGAGGCCTTCCCCTCATGTTGCCTCCAAGCAGAGGACTGCCTTCTTTGTGCATGAAGTTGCCCTTTATTCACAGTGGCTAGTAGCAGCCACTGATGGACCTCCCCATCCATAAATCTGTCTAACCCACTTTTAAAGCCATCTATGCCTGTGGCCATCACTACCTCTACTGGTAATGAATTCCACAGTTCAATTACTCATTGAGTAAGGTAGTACTTCCTTTTGTCTGTCCTGAATCTATTGCCGATCAACTTCATTGGGGCCTGTAGAGTCCTAGCATTAAGGGAGAAGGAGAAAAAGCTCCCTCAACCCACTTTCTCTATACCCCATGCATAATTTTATGCACCTCTATTAGATCCCCCATTAACCACCTCTTTTCTAAACAAAGAAGTTCCAGACAATACCAGAAAGGCTGACCTTTCCACACAGTGTATCCCTGCTACTCTGCTCTGCTCTCACCCCTGACCCCTAGTTTTTCAGGCCCCTTTGGTTGAATCTCTCATGCCAAAGTGCAACCAACTTTCATCCCATGTTGGCCTAGTCTCCTACATTCCCACATCTCTCCCTTCTGTTCCCCCCACTACACACACAAACTTCGGACTGTAAGCTCCTTAGGACATAGATCTTTCTTATTTGGGGGGTATAGGGAGCTTGTGAAGAAGAAGAGTTGGTTTTCATACCCCACTTTTCTCTACCTTAAGGAGTCTCAAAAAAGCTTATAATTGCCTTCCCTTCCTCTCCCCACAACAGGAACCTTGTGAGGTAGGTGGGGCTGAGAGAGTTCTGAGAGAACTGTGCCTGACCCAAGGTTACCAAGCAAGCTTCATGTGGAGTAGCGGGGAATCCAATCCAGTTCTCCAGATTAGAATCCACCACTCTTAATCACTACACCATGATGGCTCTCAATTGTGCTCTACAATACAGCAGTGGCTATGATTACAAAAATATTTTCGTCTCTAAGCACCTTCTGGCAGCAACCCAAGCAGCAGCTGGAACATGACCCAAGCACAGCAGCACCCTACCAAGTCAAGAACCAAGGCACATCATGAGGACTAGACAATTTTTTTTAAAGGCTCATTTGTTGTTTGTGTTGTTGATCACGCTGGAGTGTAGCCAGCCATCTGCAGACTCTGCAGGGCAAGTCTTTACTGCTCCTTCCTTACGCTGCAGCCCAGTAAGGCCCTCCCCCAAATTTTGTTCTGCGTGTCAAGGGACTCTCAGGAACAGCAGTGAAGACATCTCCAGTAGGAGAGAGGGAGGGATAGGCAGAAATTGCTTCCCCACCCCCTTCCACAAATTGAAACACCATTCTTATGCAGGAACCGCATGGCTGGATACACTTCACTGTACTGCAATGCAAGAAGAAGTTTCTACCACTCATGATTGCAAGTGTGTGTGTGTGTGTGTATGTGCGTGTGTGTGTGAAAGATAAGTTTGGAAAGCATTTAAGTCAGTGATGGCAAACCTTTTAGAGACCGAGTGCCCAAACTGCGACCCAAAACCCACTTATTTATCGCAGTGCCAACACGGCAATTTAACCTGAATACTGAGGTTGTACTTTAGAAAAAACAACTCATACATTCACTTAAGATGATCCAAACAAAGTGAGGAAAGCAATCCCAAATGCTTTCATTTACTTTAAATTATTTGGCAGAGAATGCGACCCTTTAATGACGGTCTGGGCCTGGCTGGGGCGATGGCACGCGTGCCCACAGAGAGGGCTCTGAGTGCCACCTCTGGCACCCATGCCATAGGTTCGCCACCACTGATTTAAGTGATTCCTCCTGAAACCCCAGAAGCCAGAGGGGTGGCTGAATTCAGATTTCTGACTGTTGGGGAGAGGAACTTATGCCAATTTGCTGAATTTGACTACATCCAGTTTACAATTTGCATTATTTCAGCACACAGCAAACACTGCCATGACCCTCTGAAGTTTAGGACTAAATGAAGAGTAGAGTTTAAAACAGTTGCCCAAAGCTGAAGGACAGCTATTTTAAAAGTCTGGGAGAATGGCCAAGATCACGCAGCTGTTGTAAGCCGAACAAGGAGTGGAGCCCAAAAAGCCCAGTTATATCCTGAGCTACCCACATATGAGGGTGGACACAATACCTAACGTGGGTGTGAAGGAAGGAAGGAAGCAAGAGGGGGCATAGGAGAACACCTTCTCCGATAGGCCAAGTGTCTTCTTGCAGACCAACCCCACCGCTGCAAATGTAGCCAAGTCCAAGCAGGGGAGTGATGCAGAAACAGGCATGCCCAGAAAGAGGGATCCCAAAGGTCAGTGAAGGGGGTGGACGGGAGAAAAAATGGCCAAAGGCTAATACTTGCCTTACCTGTTGACCCTGCGCGGGCACTTGTCCGGCTTGATGTCCACTTCATAGTGATAGACATCGATCTTGGGGATGTCAACTTCAAAGTAGTTGGCCAAGAGTTTGATTGGCTTCCCAACAGTTCCTATCCCAGGCCGGCGAGGAGCTTGGAACACCTGCTGCAGGGGTGGCAGATAAGTGCCCGCAGCAGCTGTTGAATAAGGCAAGAGAAGACAAAAGAAGAGATGGGGTTGAAAAACAATGCTCAGCATTCCCGTACTACCTCTGCTCTCTCCTGTGTTAACCTTAAAAGTAGTCTTTGTACTGTACAAATGGCAAAACAGGAATAAAGTAGGCTTCAGGGGATGAAAACCGGAACATCAACTTCTGGTTTCTCTTGAAACTTCCGGTTTTGGTGACCCGAATTGCGGACGCGTCCCTTTAGCGCTCCAGGGGACGTGATCCGTGACCCAGCGGATGGGAGGGGGTGCGATTGTCCGCACCACCCCCAGGGCCCCTGCAGGGAGCCCCCAGCCATGGAGCGTGAGAGATGCTGCTCCCAAGGCACGCTGCCGAGGGACTGAGACACCTCTGAGCTCCAATGGTCCTGCCACCGTGGAACCAGCAATGGTGATAGGGGTGCACACTGGGACAAGCGAATGGTGATCAAGCGAAACCCTTACCTCAGCATGAGCCACGACGAAGTGTGAGTCTTTCTTGTTAAAGCAAAACATTCGGATAAATATCCAAGCGAAAATATCCTCCCCCGCCCCCCCAAGATATGCGGAGTGGAGGATTCACTCCATGGTTAAACAAAAGCTGATTCCAGAGCATTTTAAGGGGGGGGGGGAAGAGGACTATAAGCAAATAAAAACTAATATAAAGAACAGTCAAACAATAGAGACTTTTGAAACTTTTCTGAAAAGTAAACAATTAAAAGATGGCGGGGAGGAGAGTTGGGCCGAAAATAAAAACCTTCTTCTGGAAACGGCAGCCTAGCCACTCCAGTCACGTGACCAGAAGTAGCTACAGACCTCCCTGGTATGATAGCAGCAGCATTGCGACCTCTGCTGGACCAACTGACAACTTTGTTTGCTATAGCGGTTAAGTGTGTGGTATAGTGGTTAAGTGTGTGGACTCTAATCTGGGAGAACCGGGTTTGATTCCCCACTCCTCCACTTGCACCTGCTGATGTGACCTTGGGTCAGTCACAAGCTCTGGCACAGCTGTCCTTGAAAAAAGAGCAGTTTGTGTCAGAGTTCTCTCAGCCCCACCCACCTCACAGGGTGTCTGTTGTGGGGAGGGGAAGGAGTTTGTAAGCCGCTCTGAGACTCCAAGTGAAGGGCGGGGTATAAATCCAATCTCCTCTTCTTCTTCTTCTTCGAACCAGAATTTTGCAACTCTACAAAGCCAAATGGAAGACACTAAGCAGAAGACAGAGCAAACAGTAACAGCAGTTAAGGAAGTTGATGCCAAAGCTAATAAGCTTCAAAAGCGCGTAGAGAAAGTGGAAAAAAAGAGAATCTCCAATGAACTTCAACTTTTACAGCAACAGATGGAAAAGTCAAACTATGTTTTGAGATTCCAAGGAGTTCCAGAGACTAAAGGGGAAGACCTTAAAAAAACTTTAAGTGAAGACTTGGGACCGGTTGCAGATTTGAAAGCGGATTTCCTTCAAAGCGAGATTGATATGGCCTACATGACATATTCATAATATATTTAAAAAAATAATCTGCCTGGTGAAATTTATGTAAAGTTCTCCAAAAGACATATCAGAGACTAGATACTTAAAGCGACTAATGGAACTACCTTAAAAATCAAAGACAGAGAAATCAAAGTATTAAAAGACATTCCCATTGAAATAAGAAAGAAGAGGAGAAAATATAAAGACTTGATCTTATTTCTACAAAAGCCATCCACCCCCTACAAATGGATTATATCAGAAGACGTCTTCTTCAATAACAACGATAAGAAAGAAAGGATTGACTCTGTCATAAAAGCTAAGTTCTTTTTGGAACAGTTACAAAAACCAAAAAAGCCACTAAAGACTCAAGAGGATGACAATGCAAATCTCATCATTATCTACTGAAGAATCTGACTCAGAATTAGGGGCAGCGGCCCCCAAAACTCCTAAAGCCAATCGAGACTATCATCTCAGAAAGAAGAAAGATAAACGTTAACTTTTATCTCTAGAAGCAGAACTTAATCCATACTTAATAGATTCTTGGATGTTCTTTATATAGTTAACTGCCACGGATATACTTTACTAATCTCTTCCATTGATATAGCACTGTTACAATACTAACACGTTAAAAATGTTGTAAGCATTATATGACCACCGTTTCTTGGGTTTTTAGTGGTTATCTTTACTTTCTCCCATAGTTTGTAGATACCCTTTCCTTATGATTTCAGTGTAGTTTTTAGAATAAAAGCAATAAAAAATGTTTTTTAAAAAACCTTTTGGTTTCTCTTTTTCCCTGTGCCATCTATATATATAAAAGAAAGTCCCCTCACCGTAAAATCAATGCCCAGGCCAAACCGCTGGACCTAGAAACACCAAATTCGGGGAGAGTGCTCCTACTGTGGCGTAGGTGCTCGCTAAGAAGGGATTTTTAGAAACTCAACCCCTAAGTGGGTCAAAAGGGGGGAAATGTGCTCCCCCCATTGATTCCTATGCGGCTGCCAGGCAGCTGCCTCTCTGCACCCCCCAGTCTCTGATTGGTCAGCTGCAGAGCTCAGAGCTTTGAGGTTAAAAAACCCCAACAGTTACAGGGGACTGCAAACAGCTAATGACAATTGAGGAAATCGGGAGTGGCCAAGAACCACCTGTGAGGTGAAGCAAAGCTGCTGGCCCAGCCTCTCTGATGGCTTCCAACACACTCCCCCCACCTCCTACACCTAACAGGCAGTTGTCTGTGAGGTGCAGCCCCACCTCCACAGTGACTTCTAATACTCCTCCCCCCTCCCTTTCATACACTGGACAGGCAGCTGTCTGTCAGGTGCAGCAGTGGTTGCAGGGTGCTTAAAGCCATAAGGGAGCCTGCCCCAGCAGTAATGCCTTAGTGATCTTGCCAGCCCTGCCTCCACAGTGGCTTCTAATACTCCTCCCCCCTCGCCCTCCTACACCGGACAGGCAACTGCCTCTCAGGTGTAGGAGAGGTCAGATACTTACAGCCGCCGGGGAGGTTTGCTCAGCAGGATTGCCTTAGCACTGCTGCTGGCCCAGCCTCCCCGATGCCTTTAAATACAATCCCCCCCAACACCAGACAGGCTGGTGTCTGTCAGGTGTAGGAGCAGGGCCAGGGTATGAATGTTTATGGGCCATTGGACACTTACTGTGCAGGGTCCTTCTCCTCTGAGGACAGGAGGACATCTCCATGGGTTATTCCCATCGTGCCTTTAGGGAGGCAGGAAATGGTTTTTTCCCCTTCCTTTTGGTGCCTCCGGAATAGCCCATCTCCAGTTCTGGGACTCCGAAAGCAGTGCTTGCAGCCTGAATAACTGGCCTTGCCCTATAAAACATAATTTGAAACATAACTTCAACATGTAACAACCCAACTCTGCAGGGTTAGAACACCCAGAGTATGAGTAAAAGGTAAGGAGAGAAGAAATCAGCACAGAGAAAATAGGAACAGAGAAAGATTACATTGGGAGGGCCGAGATGTCTTCCTGTCCTCAGAGGAGAAGGACCCTTCACGGTAAGTGTCCAATGGTTGTTCTCCCTCTGAGGTGGAGGACATCTCCATGGGACCTCCCCGAGCAGTGTCCCTCATTCGGGTGGGTTGTCATCTTTCTCCAATGTCACAACGTGCTGAAGCACTCTTCTCCCAAATGCCGCATCTGCAGATGCCACTGTGTTGATCTTGTAGTGTAGTGATCTTGTAAAGGTAGAGATGGAGGACCAAGTAGCCGCTCTACAGACTTCCTCCACCGAAGCTCTGTTAGAAAAAGCTACGTTAGTCGCTGCACTTCTCAGCGAATGTGCCGTGATGCCGCTGGGAACCTCGTCTCCCGAAGCCCAGTAAGCCTCTACGATGTAGGACTTCAGGACCAAACTGATCGTAGACCTAGAAAACGTTTCCCCTTTGCGTGGAGAGGAAATGCCAATGAACATAGACTCCGTCTTTCTCCACGACTCCATCCTTCCAATGTAAATGTTGAGAGCTCTTTTAACATCTAAGGTATGCCAGAGATGCTCCTTGGGATGCTTGGGATGGGGACAAAAGGTGGGCAAGCATATTTCCTGTGCTTGGTGAAATCTGGAGTCTATCTTGGGTCGGAAGGTAGAGTCCGTGCGGAGCACTACTTTGTCCTTCTGGAACACGCAGAAGGATAAGTTTACCGACAATGCTCCGAGTTCAGAAACTCTCCTTGTTGAGGTGATGGCAATGAGAAACAGTGTTTTCATCCTCAGCCATTTCAGTTCCACCTCTCTGAGAGGTTCAAATGGTGCTTTCATGAGAGCATCAAGCACAATGTTCAACCTCCACGTTGGAAAACGATGCATCTGTGGAGGAGACTTGGCCACAGCCCCCTGCAGGAACAATTGAATATGGGGATGCTTGGTAATCTTGAAACCCTCTAATGAAGGTAACACCATGGATAAAGCCGCTAGGTGTCTGCGGAGAGTGGAAGCTCAAAGACTGGCATCCAATCCCTCCTGTAGGAACGCCAGAACAGAGGCTACCGAAGGAGACAGTGGAGCCACCTTTTTCTGTCTGCACCATCTCACAAACGCCTTCCAGGTGATGTTATATATGCGAATTGTGGATTTCCGTCTGGAAGTCATGATGGTGTCCATGACCTGAGTAGACTATCCTAACTCTGCTAGACTGTCCCGCTCAATCTCCATGCGGTCAGACATAACCAGGCTGGATTCGGATGCCACACTAGTCCCTGCGAGAGCATGTCCAGAGACACTGGTAGTACCAATGGCAGAAGAATCAACATCTTCTGCAATGCTGAAAACCATGGACGTCGTGTCCATCTCGAAGCCACAAATATGACCTTTGCTCCGAGCTCCCTGATTCTGCAGAGAGTCCTGGCAATCAGTATGAATGGCGGGAACACGTACAGCAGGCCCGAAGGTCACTTCGTCGTGAGAGC